AGGGCCCATTCCGTGCCAGATGGCAGGGTGGGAGGTAGCAGAGGGCCTGGGTAGCAGAGCCCGCCAACCGTCCCTTGGTCATGCAGGACTGATGGAGCCAGGTTGGCGGGCAGCCCTTGGCCGGCCCTTTGGGGACAAGGGCTCAGAGACATCCTGTTTACTCGACTCCTGTACAGGACTGTGGGTAGAGGTGGGCCTCGGGTAGGGAGCCCAGGGGGAGGCTCATGGATGCACGTGCCCCGGAGCTCCTGAAGGTGGTGTCACGGGAGGTGGTGCTCCCTCTGCCTTGCATCATAGGAAGGAAAAGGAGGCCTCTTCAAGGGGGTGGCTGGTCCCTGGCTGGGCAGGTGGGAAGGACTCCCCAGACAGGGCCCAGACATTACAATGTAGCCACAAGCCCCTATCACAGGCCTGGGATGGCAACACAGACAAAAACACCCAACACCCCAGGGCAGGCAGGGTTTCTTTCTCCACAGAAACATGTAAACAGAGCAGGAGCTACAGTATTCTTTTCCCACAAGATTCCTCAGAGAGGAATAGACCAGGATGTCACTCAAGAGGTAGTTTTTTTTTTTTTTTTTCCTTCTTTTTCATGGAAATTTGAGTCAACAACATTATCATCTAAGACATTTCAGACAAAGAAAACAGTGGTTACCAAAGGGCAAAAATGATCCTTTGGCTGGCAGGGCTGGCTCCAGGATTTGGAAGACTAGCCTCCACCAGTAAAACAAATTTTTTCTTGGGCTTGAAGCAAGCTCTGGCCTGATTCATGGCTTCCCTTTGAGCCTGCAACTGATTCCTGAGCAGGCTGTAGCCCACTGAGGGCTGCAGGCCGAGAAGAGAGGCCAGATGGGTACTGGATTAGGCAGAGGGACTGGGCATCATGTGAGCCGGTAGAGGCAGGGTCACTGTGGTTCAATTTACAAGACAGACTGAAGTCTTCCCAAGTCTCAAGGGAACCCAGCTCTGGTCAAAGAAGAAGCCCCAGCATAGTCTGTGGGGCCCCTGCCTCTGAGGAAACAGTCCAGGTCTGGCTCCTAAGCCCAGAAAAGAAGCTGTTGCTTGTGGTAGCCAGGAGATGGGTTTCTGGGGACCCTGTAATTAAATACACATCCCTGAGCTGTGGCCCTAGAAACCCTTGCCTCAAGGCTAACCAGTTTCCAGCACCTGGTGGAACGATTGCCGTTTCTTATCCTGAGACACAGATAAAACATCATTTCACAGACACTGGACATAGATGCATCAAGCTGAGGGAAGAGGGAGGAATGATCAGATGCAAAAGCAGAGGGGAGTGCAGGGGGACTCTCATGGATCAAGTTGGGAAAGTAAGAGTGGTGTGGTTTTGTTTAGGGTATTTTTTTTTTTGCCTTTTTTTAAATATTTTTTTTAACTTTAAAAAATCAATAGAGAAAAATTTAAAGTTTAATAAAAGGGTTGGTCTAAAAAATTGGATTTCTCAAAACAATTGCAGAATTTTAAAAAGCAACTAGAAAAGAAGACATAGACCAGGGGCTCAGACCTAAAGACTTGGAACCACTGCTCAACCTCCTGCCCTGCGGGGAGGCCAGTCGTTTTACTTTGGCCAACCTTGGACATGGCCTGGATGTTGCCAATACTGGGTTTGTCTGTCTCCATCTGTCCCATTCCCCAGTGAACTGAGAACAAACAAACTAAGGTAAGAAATGGGCAGCAGAGCAAGGCAGCTAGCTCAGAAAGCCCAGGGCTTTAAGGACCTGGTAACATACTGGCCATGGCAGGACTCCCTTCTCTGACAACGGGTGGCAGGTGTGAGGCAGGGTGCTGTGGACTGGGTGACTGTCATGATGCCATGGAGACTCCTCAGTTGCCTCTACCCTTCCTCCTCTGGATCTGCTTTCCATCCCTGGAGGTTTGCCCACCTCACTATGCAACGGGCCTGGGGGATTGGGTATCCTCTGAGACAGGTGGAGTGCTTTGAGACAGGTTCTGGGGAGTCTCTCCAGACTGAGGGTAAAACCACCAAGCCTGTGAAAGATGCCAAAAGCCGACAAAGGAGCCAGAGAGCGTGAGTTGTGGGTGAAGTTCCAAGATTCCAAAGTTTTGTCTTGGGTCAAGAAAACATGCAAAGGGAAAGGAAGAGAAAAGCTTGTAAGTTTCAATGCAGTGCAATGACTGGGATTCTCCTTTAACACACAGCTTTCAGGGTCATATTTTTATGGTGGAAAGGTTCTCACTCAAAGTGAGTGCTGTTGGTGGCAGAGGATCAGAGAGAGGACAGAAGAGAGGGGAATTACAGACAAGATGCACAACTTTTTTCTTTTCCACTAGCAAAAAGGCTACCTGTTAACCAAACATCATGGGAAGAAAGGCAAAAAACAACACATCAAACCTCCCCCTCCAACCTTTCTCTGTGTCCTTCAAACTGAATTCACAAATACATCTAGTGGCTGACCTAATGTCTCCACACTGCTAGCTACACTCCTACCTTCCTCTCATAATACCTGAGTTTGCGACGCAACACAGTCACTTTACCCTGTTTAAAAAAAGCCCACGTCATAAAAGGACTGGGTGCAGAAGACATTAAAGGCGGTCCACAGGTCAGGCTCCGGCTCGGAACACACGGCCACTTGGCTCAGAGATTCTGCAGGGCTCTCGGCAATGAATGGGCTCTTTGTTCTGTGGAATCTGCTGCAAACATTTGTAAAAATGGATTTGTACAATGGCAACTTGCAGAACCTTTCCCCACGACACAAATTAACAATCTGCTCTGTTTAATGCTGCAGTATTAAAGAGACATGCTCCTGCCTCATCAGAGAGCAATTCCTTTCAGTACCTGACCCAACCAGTAAAACACTTAAGAGAAAAACAATTTCAAAAAAATAATAGTAATTTGACCGATGGAGGTCTAGCAAAGAAAGATAAGCACACAGGAGCTGTTCTGGAGAAGGGGTCTCTGACATGTGGATCCTCCCCTACCTTGAGGAAAGTGGCTCAGAGTCTGACCTATAGCCAAAGACTGTGATCTAGTTTAGTTAAATAAAAGATCAGAGAAACAAAAATACTGTGAAATAAACAGATACACACAAATCTTCCCATTGACATGTGAAAAACATTCTGGTTGGAGCTTTTCCTGAGGAACATGTCTCTCCTTTCCTTTTTTTGTTTTCCTTTCTCAGAGCAACTGGAGAAACAACATTCAGAAGTAATGCTCTGAGTTTTAGATCCATCAAAGGACAGTTTTCACTCTCTGTACCCGTAACAATTCACCGGAAAGAAAAAATTACAATTTGACACAGACTACCTGATATGCACACAGTGTGGTGGTCCTCTGCCTAAGTGTGCTGGGCTGAGCTGGAAAGAGAGCAAACGGCCTTTGACTAAACAGGCGAAAGAGGTCCTGTGGGCCCCCAAGCCTACCCGGGGATGTACCCAGCTAAATGGCCTGTCTGCTACACTGGCTGTGGGAGGGACCTGGGTTTACGCAGGGACAACCGCTGCAGTGAGGCGGAGAAGGAAAAAGCACCTGAAAGAATTCCATGACAGACCTGGTGTGGCAGCTAGCCAAAGCCAAGAGGGTAAGGAACGTTTCCCGGGACTAGGTGGGGCAGGTAGTGAAAGAATAAGGGGTCAAGGCCATACCTGCAGAGGGGGCAGCCAGGCCTTTAGGAACATGAGGTAGTTTAAAGACCCCCTTCCCTTCCAGGAGTTTTGGACTCTAGCCCTCCAGACCTTAGTCAACCAGGCCACTGATACTCTAAGGGGCAGCTGTGCCACTCTGGGTCTTGGGCTTATTATTTTGAGGAAACCTGATCTTATTTTGGGAGCGATTAGGAGGGCCTGGAGTAGAATGTAGGGGCAAAAATTCTGGTCAGCAGATGGGTGAATGGTCCTTCCAGCTGTTTGAGAAAGAGACTACAGTTCCTGATTCAGATCTGGAGGTGGGATGGGATGGGTGGGGAGATAAATGGGACCTCCAAAGGAGGAGTGTTCATTCTGTTAGCAGTCTGGCTTTTGTCCCACTAACCTCTGAAGGTGAAAAGAGAATAAATCAGTAGTGGGCATCAGGATTTAGAACATGACATTTTGTTCAGCTGTTTTTTCAAAGGGTCAATAGGAAGTCACGTTTATAAGGGAGAGGCAATGAGTATAAGGAGAGTAAGGAACTAGGTAGCTGTGAGTCCCAAGATAGCTTGTATGCTAGTCCCAAGGATCAGCTTATCACCAGGGTCTTGCCTAGGTGAAAAGGCGACAGCGGCAGAAACTAGTACTGGTGGTATGGATGGTGGGGAGGGGAGGCCCCAGAGTGTGGTGTGAGAACAGAAACCCTTCTCCCTGAGGACTTGCTTGGAGGGTGGACACCTAACTTAGATTTGGTCACTGTGCCCAGCTCTCAACTTTCATGCTTTCCAAAGAAAAGAGATGGTTAAATCCTCATCTCTTGATCTGTTCCCAATGTCTCACCCACTCTGCTTAGTAAACCTCCTAACACCACTTCCCCTTTTATGGTGTGCTCTTTTACCTGGTAATTCTGTAGCTAGAAAAAGGCAATTTGCTCTCTGACAGACAAATATGAGTCTGCTGAGAACGTGTGGAAAAAGTAGGGTTGTTCACACCCTTTCCCTTCCACTGAGGTAGTCATCTTTGTCAACATTATGGAAATAGTCATCTCAGCCCCATCCCACCCTCTCCCTCAAAATACAAAAGAACTATCTCTAAACAATGACAACACTGTAACATTAAACATCTTCACATTCTGTAAACTGCAAGGAAATGCATTGGCTGCATTCACACAAAAGCATGTGCATCATGTTGAAGGCCATACATTCAACTCTGTCGTGAAATAAATATATAGAAAAATGAGGTTAAAAAACAAGACAAACAAACAAAAACTCTTCTTGCTGTGGAGGCAACTGGCAACGCCACTCCACAGCCTCCATCTTGGTCTCTCTGGCTTTCTTCTGGAGCCTGTCCTGCCCACCCCAGGCGTTAGGGTTGGCCTGAGGAGGGGTGCTGGGGACAGGTCACTCCTTGCCCACACTTGTCTTGCAGGAATGCAGCACCACCTTAAAAAGGAGAGGCAGCTGCTCCAGGGGAACATTCACCATCTTTCCTAGGAAAAGGTGGAAAAAGAAGAGTCAGTTTTGGCAGCCAGTGAAATGGTGTGTTTGCCTCCTCTTGGGCTGGTGAAAGGAGAACACTGCCTTTTTGAGTGACTGGGGCAAGGAAAGTGCCAGGACTACTACAAAGGTAAAACAGACTGGGCTAACATTCTAATACTTAGCCCCATTTCGGTGCCCTAGGGAGTCTAGTATTGGTGCAAGCTATAATTATGGCTACTATCCAAAGAATACTAACTCTGTGGTAGGTGTTTAAATATATTATCTCATTTAATTCTCACAATATTTCTGTATGATAGCTATTACTTTTTATCCCCATTTTACAAACGAGGACTCTGAAACTGAGAAGTATTCTTAGGTGTCCTCTTAGAGAAACTTATATCCTGTTTCATTTCCTAGTAGAATCTTTAACTAGCATTCTATAAAACATTGCTCTTCAGAATGGTATAATGGGAATAAAATGTACTGAGGAGAGAGGTGGAGTTTATAGGGGAAGATAAATTGAGAAATTCAGGGTTAAAACAGGTTTGCTTGTTTTAAGTTGGAGGACTTCTAAGAGCGTGCAGTGAGATAATATACTTTGTAAATATCCGAGGCTACAATTCTCCCTGACAGAACCCTAGAGTTACCGGGGAGTTTTGTTTTTTTTTTTAAATACTGATGACCAGGCTCCACTCCGTTATCAAGTAAGTCGGAATCTCTAGAGATGCAACCCAAGCATGGGTATTTATTAAAAGCTTCCCATGTAATTCCAAGGGCTGACAGGGTTGACAATTCTGCCAGTTCTGTGGGGGAGAGTGGGGTATAATTACTAACTTCTATTTCATAAAGCACCTGATTCATAGCTCGTTTGGAAGAACATAGTTTTGAAAATGCTGAGACATAAACTATCAAAACACTCCTAAAATTCTACCAGTTTATTTAGGTCCAGGTCATATCTCCTAGAATATTCTGTGGGCCAGAAGTTAAAAATTGATTTTATCAGATTGAACATTTTTCCCTTCAAAACTGTATTCCTTAACTTTACAAAACAATCTTAGCCCAGACGTCACAGTGCTGAGCTGCCCCTCAGTATGTGCTAGATAACTGTAAACAAGATTCTTTACCAAATGAAGTAAAACAACAACAGTAAAAGCCAGGATTTTAGGTTGAAATGGACCTATTTAAATGTCAAGAAGCTCAGAAGGGGGTCAAGATCACAAAACAACTACAACAAAAGTTGCTTTGTGAACACAGGATCTTTGACAATTATTTTAAAGTCGCCACTTTAAGTGAAAGATCCTCAAAAACCTCAAATAGGCAATTCTATTCAATAAAATTAATTTTAAAATCTGAGATATAGTTAGTTCACACGCTGTAAAACCCACCCTTTTAATGTATATAATTCAGGAAATGAAGTTAATCTGAAAAACTTTGAGCCTGTTTCCCCATCCATAGAGTGGTCAACCACAAGTCTTGCAGAAATTGTTCTGAGATTGAATAACAGGCCACCACGTAGCACATTACCAAGTGCTCATTACAGGAGCCTAGGCAATGTTAGATTGTCTTCCCTACAAAGAAAAAACAAACTTCTCATTATCATGTAAATTTTTCTAAGGGCAGGGCTAGTACTTCTTTTAATCAGCTGGTGATGGGCCTGGCATCAGCATCCTGAAAACACTGCTTTCCTCATTCCCTTCACAAGTTAAGAAAAGCAAGGAAGCCCAGGACCCGTTACCTGCAATATAGCGAATCTCAGGTAAGCACATCATGAGGTCAGGAAATCGGTTCGGTTGATGTGTATATTTATATTCAGTGAAATCCTGGCAAATGTACCAATATCGTTTGTTCAACTGTTCCAGCTGCGAGGCACTGGTCAGACCCCTGATATCTGTGAAAAAAGACCACAGGAAATGGGAGGGACTTCCGCCAGCTCCTTGAATATGTGTGTCTTTCACTGAAAAGTTATTAAACACTGTCTCAACAGGGGATATTTTTTTTCTGACATGGAGGAATAAAAGCTCTGGGTAAGAGAAGAGAAATTAGATAAATGAAAAAATTATCAAGGACAATCACTAGACTGAGCCCCTTGAGGGCTAGGCAGTCATCTCTCTCAACTTCATACTCAGCTCCCAGCACAGGGTTTGGCACAAAACAGGTACTAGTGGATGCTGAACAAGAGACTGAATAATTTCCCAATGTATCCTCCACAATAGCTTTAAATTTGCTCTTTGCTGGCCCCATTCAGAAATCACACTGACACCTATGCTCTCATACTTGTACATATACTCATACATGGTCTCCTGTGTGCGTCTACTCAGACTATTCTACCTGGGCCACTGGTATTCTACTGCGTTCCTCCAGCTTTTGTTTTTTTTTCTTCATATAAGCATATCTTGTTTTATTGTGCTTTGCTTTACTGCACTTCACAAATACTGCATTTTTGACAAATTGAAGGTTTGTGGCAACTCTGTACCAAGCAAGTCTATTGGTGCCATTTTTGCCAACAGCATTTGCTCATTTCATGTCTCTTTGTCACATTAGGTAACTCTCGCAATATTCCAAACATTTTCATTCTTATAAGATTTGTTATATGAATCTATGATCAGTGATTTTTGATGTTTCCATGGTAATTGTTTTGTGGTGCCACAAACTGTGCTCATACAAGATGGTGAACTTATCAGTAGTAAATGTTGTGTGTTCTGACTGTTCCTTTGGCTGTTCCCCTGTGTCTCTCCCTCTCCTTAGTCCTCCCATTCCCTGAGAAACAACAGTAGTGAAATTAGGCCAATTAATAACTGTATGATTGCCTATAAGTGTTCAAGTGAAAGGAAAACTCACATATCTCTCACTTTAAATCATAAACTAAAAATGATTAAGCTCAGTGAAGAAAGCATGTCAACAGTCAAGACAGGCTGAAAGCTAGGCCTCTTGTGAGTTAGCAAAGTTGTAAATGCAAAAGAAAATTTCTTGAAGGAAATTAAAAAGCACTACTCCAGTGAACACAAAAATAATAAGAAAGTAAGACAGCCTTATTGCTGATTAGGAGAAAGTCTGAGTGGTCTGGATAGATCAAACCATCCATAATATTCACTTAGGCCTAAGCCTCATCCAGAGAAAGCTCCTAACTCCTTTCAATCCTATAAAGGCTAAGAGAGGTGAGGAAGCTGCAGAAGAAAAGTTTGAAGCTAGCAGAGGTCGGTTCATGAGGTTTAAGGAAAGATGCTGTCTTCATAAAAGGGTGAGGTGAAGAAGCAAGTGCTGACACAGAAGCTGCAGCATGTTCTTCAGATGATCTAGCTAATAAGATAATTAAAGAAGATGGCTACACTAAACAAAGATTTTCAATCAGACAAAACGGCCTCATGCTGGAAGAAGATGCCGTCTAGGCCTTTCCACAGCTGGAGAAGAGAAGTCAACGTCTGCTTCCAAAGGACAAGCCGCCTCTCTTGTCAGGGGCTAATGCAGCTGATGACTTCAAGCTGGGGACAGTGCTCCTTTACCATTCCAAAAATTCTAATGCCCTCAACAATCATACTGAATCTACTCTGCTCGTGTTCTGTAAATGGAACATCAAAGCCTGGATGACAGCACATCTGTTCACAACGTGGTTTACTAAATATTTCAAGTCCACTGTGGGAAACTACTCCTCAGAAAAAAAGATTCCTTTCAAAATATTACTGCTCACTGACAAAGCACCTGTCATCAGAGCATCAGAGCATCAAGAGTTCTGATGGAGATGTACAATGAGATTAATGTTGTTTTCATGCCTGTAACACATCCATTCTTTAGCCCATGAATCAAGGAGTCTTTTCAACATTCATGTCTTACTACTTAAGAAATACATTTCCTAAGGCTATAGCTGCCCACAGATAGTGATTCCTCTGAAGGATCTGGGCAAAATAAATCAAAAACCTTCTGGAAAGGATTCACCATTTCAGAGGCCATTCCTGAGTCACTGAAAGAGGTCAACATATCAACATTAACAGGATTTTGAAAAAAGTTGATTCCAACTTTCATGGATGACTTTGAGGAGCTCAAGACTTCAGTGGAGAAAGTAACTGCAAATGTGGTGGACACAGCAAGAGAACTAGTATGAGAAGTGAAGCCTGAAAATGTGACTGAATTGATGCAATCTCATGAAAAAAATTTTAACAGATGAATTACTTCTTATGGATGAGTGAAGAAACTGGTTCCTTGAAATGGAATCTACTCCTGGTGAAGAAGCTATAGAGACTGTTGAAACAGTAAAAAAGGATTTAGAATATTACATAAACTTAGTTGATAAAGCAGCAGCAGGGTTTGAGAGTACTGATTCCAATTTTGGAAGAAGTGCTACTGGGGGTAAAATGTTCAAACAGCATGGCATGCTACACAGAATACACTGATGAAAGAAAAAGTCAATTCATGTGGAAAACTTCACTGCTATCTTATTTTAAGAAATCACCACAGCTACCCCAATCTTCAACAACCACCACCCTGGTCAATCAGAAGCCATCAACACTGAGGCAAGACCATCCCCAGCAAAAAGATTATGACTCACTAAAGGCTCAGATGATGGCTAGGATTTTTCAGCAATAAAGCATTTTTTTTTTTTGAGGTATATACTCTGCTTTTTAAGACAAAATGCTACTGCACACTTAATAGACCACAGCATAGTATAAATATAAATTTTACAGGCACTGGAAGTCAAGAAATTCACGTGACTCACTCTATTGCAACACTCACTTTACTGTGGTGGTCTGGAACCAAACAAGCAATATCTCCAAGGTATGCCTGTAGATGTCTTTCTCATATATGTGTATACATTATATAGTGCATTCATATACATATAAACACACACAATCCCTTTTGTATACATAAAATATATTAATAAATATTCTCTATATAAATCTTACCCTGCCTTTGAGGCCCCACTATCAGATTTCTCTTTCTCCAAGTAGTTGTTATTGATCTCCTTCCATTTGAGTAGTAGAGGGTGTTTTTGGGTAAAATTTTTAAAAAACGTGGCCCATTTTTAAAGTCTTTATTGAATTTGTTACAATACTGCTTCTGTTTCACATTTTGATTTTTTTCGCCAGAAGGCACAGGGGATCTTAGTTCCCTGACCAGGGATCGAACCTGCACCCCCTGCATTGGAAGGCGAAGTCTTAACCACTGGACCACCAGGGAAGCCCCTCTCCCCTCACTTGAGGCTCTAGCAATCCATCAAGTGCCATCAGAAAGTGTACTTCTTGAGGCCAGGAGCCTGGGATCTAATTTATTGCAATGTCTTTAATGCTCGACACAGGGCCTGGCCTAAGGGAGGCACACAGAACACCAGACATATACATAAGAGGTGCGGAAGCAAGAGGAGGAGGTTTAGTCAGTACCAAGGGAGGAGCTGGCAAAGAGAAGGGGATCGAGAGTCTCTGGACTAGGAAACTGAATACAGGAATAGAGCACTTTCAATGTCACAGGCAGCAAAATAGCCGAGTTCCACTCTGACAGCAGCTCACTCACATGCTGTTCTGGAAAAAAGGGAACACAAATTCTCTTGCATACTCTGGTTACCAGCAGCTACATAACACCACTTCACAGGTAATACTCCATGTAAATCACGATCACCACTCTTTTAACTGGAGCCATGCTTGATATGGGTGTGAGTTTTTGTGCACCTCCACTCTGCCCTGGAGGGGTCCGTCAGAACCACTGCCAGCTTGTCACAGATTCCTTATCTCCAATAGTTTCATCAGTCACTTTGCTCTTCTTCAGTCACTGGTAAACTTGTGCATATTTTAAATGACGCATGTACTGTCCTTGGTGTCTGTGTTTAAATGCACTAAAACTGACTAAACAAAGCAAATCCTCTTCCTTCCTCTATGAGTTATAGAGGCTGTGGCATTTAGGTTTGAAGAAAAAAATCCAAACCATGCCCTGCACTACAGTGGGGCAGGGTGATGAGGAGGGCAGCGCGTGACTTCTAAGATCAGTACCCATATGATGCGACAGGCCTGAGGGTAAAGGGGGTAGGGGAGAAACATGAGGGCAAATATTTGCTGGCCAAAGAAAACTAAGTCCTTTCTTCCTACCCTCAGTTACTCACCTTGATTTAGGAAGTTAATTGCTTTCATGCAAGCATACTCCTCATTGCTGACTTTTAGCTGATGGAACTTGTGATACAGGTAGATGAGCCGCTCAATCACCTCCATCCCTTCATCACTAAATCTGGAAAACAGACACAGGTGTTAATAGTGGGCTCTGACTACCAGTGGAGGTAATGGAAGGGAGAGAGAAGTCTCCTACAGCTCCTTAAAGCAGCTAAGACAGGAAAGAGGTTGAGATTGGGGGAAATGGAATCCAGAAGCACTTGACAGGTGAATTCATGGTTTGTCTAGAGGCCAAGGCAGCTCATACAAGCTGCTGTTCTCAAGGTCAATTAGGGTCAGTCATGTTCAAGTTCAAATCCTGCTCCATCGCATACAAGCTATAAGACTTTGGGAAAGTCCTTTGACCCCTCTAAGTTTTGAGGATCTCTTCTGTAAATAACGCTTGCCTGCTCGGGCTGCAAGGCTCAAAGGGTGCTTGGGAAGTAAATGTAGAGAAATACGTCATTAAGATACTGCTGTTGTTGTGACGCAGCCTTCAGTAACAATGGCAGCTACCATGAGTTGTGATTCTGTGTGTGCCACAATGAAGAAAAAAGCTGCTGACTGTATTTAAGTTCACTGTTTCCAGCAGGGCTACTGGCAGGCCTGACTTCAGCTAGGGAGGGAGGGAGACATAAATTGAGCCTTCATGTCATGCCAGTCTCTGTGCTTGGTACTTTATATGTATTAGCTCATTTAATTTAATGTTCTCAGCCCTATGGGCTAAGTGAGATTACAATTACCACTGTACACATGAGACACTGAAGTTTCAAGGAACAGAGGGGACTGGTCCATAAGCACATGGCTAGCTTGGAACAGACTGAGAACCCTGAATCTGGGCCAACTCCCTAAGATCTTGGTCTTCTCAAAATCCAAAGTGGCCTCCATTAGCAGAGAAGACTCAATGCTGACCATGCGGCTTTCTTTGAATGAGAAGTTAATTCCTTGAGGCAAAGACCAAGTTTTAGGCAAAGGAGCCCTAGGCTGTGGGACTAGTATTCCAGGTCACAGTGAGGAATATCTTATACCAAAAATGGAGATACTCCCAAACCAAGACGGCAAAGCCTTAGTGGGGAAATAGGAGTTTATAAAAGCTGGGGTCAGGCCCAGTGTCTAGTCTTCTTGTTCCAGACAGCTGAGTCAAGAGAAGGTGCTTAGCCTCAGAGCTGCTTCCTGGCGACATGTTCAGATCTGGGTACTGTAGCCCCTTGCCAGGCAAGAAGGCCCTGTCTGGGTAGGGTCCAGAACTCCTGGGGATATTCTACTGCTGTCTGGGTCCTATTGCTTTCTGTGCTGACTCTGAAGGCTTTGCAAGGGCTTGGCTTCCCGGGCAAGCAGGACGTTTTCTCTTCCCTAGGGAAAGTCTGGCTTTTGTTGGGGCCAGAGGCACCTGCACTTCTCAAGCAGCAGGGGGAGCTGCAGCAGCAGCTACTTGCAATCCAGAGCCCTGAACCTCTGCCTCAAGGCTTGGATCCCAGTCAGTTCACTGATCTGAACCAGCATGGCTGACTCTTGTTTCTCTCTGGCTCTTGGCCCAGTGGCTTTTACAACTTCACTAATACTTTCCCAGGTTGGTTGATAGATTTATATTTAATAACCACTATAATAACCATATCTACTCTTCTACCATTTGTTGAGTGTTAGCTACTTGCCAGACACTTTGTTAAATATTTTTACATACATTATTTCATTGGATACTCCCAATAAATTCACAAAATGGCTATTATAATCCTCTCCGTTCATACGTCAAAACAACGGCTCAGAGAGATTATTTACCATACCTTTATTGTGGTCTTATATTTTACCCTCTTGATAATCTGATAATCTGTGAGATAAGTAATACCACCTTCATGTTAGGGATGAGGATGCAGAAGAGCTGTCTTCCCCAAAGTTGCAAGTGAATAATAAAAGTAAATGGTGGTAGGGTCAAGGTTGAACATTTTCTCATCCCAAGCCTGTTGCTTTCTCAGCATTACAGTGTCCTTCCCCTGACTGTCTTGTTCTTAACTGGCAACTGGGAAAGGCTACCACAGTGGCCACTGCAGGAGGTCTGTGTTCCCAGAGCAACTCAGTTCAGCGCCCAACCCAGAGTGGGTGCTGGACTTGCTGCGGTGCACAGAACAGCCCCTCTGCTGCCTCCACGATGCCGAGACCTGCAGCAGGCAGTGTGCCTGGGGGTGAAGATCACTCCTCATCACAGTACTTTGCCAGCTACTTCTGTTCTTGAGACGTAAAAGCTCTTTACTGAAAGTGCCCACTAGTATCTGTGTGGAGGGGTAGGGAGGAGATGGGATGGGGTTGGGCATGAAAGAGGAGGATGCAAGTAGAGCAGCAATGTCAGCATCTGTCTGGTGGCCAAGCAGTGTAGCGAGCAAAGATAACGCACTCTCCCCTCATCAGTAACCTCTTGCCTGAAGTGCTCACTCTGGCTCTGCAGACCCTGCAGGTGTGTGGCTAGCAGCCAGACCCCCAGACAGCAATGCCAAACCTATTCCTAGTTGAGTCTTGACCTGAGGGACACAAAGGAACTCCCACATGCCTGGCTTGAGTATATGACCCAGATTTGCCCTCTTGCTTCGGGAGAGCACACACCCGTTTTCCGAAGTTTTCTAGGACAGGCAACCATCATGGACCCCTGGCAGTCATGGTGGGGGGCTGGCAGCCAGCCCAGCAGCCCCCACTCAGTCTCCACAGACTGACTGCAAAGCCTTCCTCCACAGCCCGCATCCCACCCCCTGATAAACAAATTGTTCTCTGTTCCATGAGCCTGCTTTCTCCTGCAGCCGTGCCTCCTCCACATCTGCCCACTCCACAGTTCTAACGCCCCTGTATTCCCTGTCTACAAATTATCAGCACTCAAAGGCAGAAAGTTGGACAAACACACCCATTCTTCTTCTAGGTTACCATTACACAAGCATGCTGGGACAAGGAAAACATGCCTGCAAGGATCCCCCAAACCACTGGACCATTCAGACAGCAATTGAAGCTGACACTGCGTAAGTTATGTCCCATTAAGGGAGCTGAGAGGCCCAGTTGTCTCTTTTTCATTCATCTGAATGCACCTACTCCCAGAGGCAGTCATCGGCCACAGCCGTAGAGGAACTGCCATCTCAGCACTCCCAGACAGACTCCAAGGTGAGAAGACAGACTGTGGCTGCAGGACAGGAAGTCAAACTTTTGAGAAGGCTAAAAAATTTAGTAATGGTAGAGTCTGGGCTTTGGAGCACAACAGATCAAGGTGATAATCCCAACCCCATCTCTTTTAGCTTTGCAGCCTTGAGTTTTCATTCTCTGAACCTTTTGCTCCTCATGTGTGGAACAGGGATAATATTAGTATGGTCCCTTAGGGAAGTGATGAGAACTAAACAAATAATATCTGTAGAGCACTTAAGATGGATTTTGGCACAATAAACAGTCTTAATCGTTAGCTATTATCATTATTAACAGCAGCAGCAGTAGCATCACTCCTGTTATCACAACCAAAAGAAAAGACCGAGTTTCCTTGAACCTACAGCTAGGGCCTTAGCAAGGAAGCTAGGAGGCAACTTTCCAGAGATCTGGCAGAAATGAGGCTAATGCTCACAAGATAGACATGCCCATTAAAGCCCATCTAGTGCGAGGCATCTTCTCCTAAGAGTGAAGGAGTCTTGATTAGGGCCAGGAGCAGTCACTGGCTGGTGCTACAATCTGCTTTAAATCAAATTCACCCAGCTCACTGTCTGATAACAGCCTGATTAAGGAAAATGGGCACCATAAATTTGATTCAATATTTGAGAAGCGAAAAGGAGGTGGTCATGTATCATCTGAGAAAAGCCTTTGCGTGACAGCAGGAACTCACTTGCATTCAACAGTTGTGAAAAACTAAAGGCATTTTGGGGGAGTGGGAGTAATGCTGCAGCAGACAAGGTAGGAAAGAGCTATGGCCAATTACAGACCCCACAGTCTGGGTTTCCAGCAGAGTGGGGACAGCCTTACAGTGATGAGCCTGATTCCAAAGGTTCTTGTACTTCTATTTCCTCTGGCCTCCTGGGAAGTTCCACACGCATCTCAGACTCTGAGTCAATCTCAGACAGGTGCATCTCTCTTCCCAGGCTCCATTATCTTGGTTAAGAGAATTGGTGCCCACTTGCCTAGCATTATCCCAACTTCTTCACTCACTGAGGACCCACTGACTTTACCTCCCTGGCATCTCTTAACTCTGTGCGCCCTCTCTAATCCCATTGTCACTGCTGCCTTGTCCAGGACTTGTTGACTTTTCCTGGCCTATGGACCAGCTTCTTACACTGTATTCAGCCTTGTCCATGCAACCCATCCTGAACTCTATAGCCACAGGAATCTTTCTAAAACGCAACCTGACACACAGTTGCTTCACTTTAAAATGTCCTACTACTTAATACCATCGACACAATAAAATCCAAATTTTTTTCAATTAGCATTTGAGTATCCTGATGACTTGTCTTTCCTGTATCTTTCTTTCCTGCCATTCCTCCCCTCATTTCTCTCTTAAATGTATTCTCTCTATACTCTAGTCCACAGGATTGCATTTTGGTTACATGTTCAAACCGCTCACTCAGAATCTCTATAATTTTTAGGACTCTGTGTTATTCTCCTGCCTGCCTCCTATTCTAATCTGCTTACAAAAATTCCCCCACAAGATGCAGCTCAAATGTCTTCTCCTCTTTGGCAAGCATTCCCTGATCATGCAAGTAGAGGTACTCATTCCCTAGTCTATGCTTTCACAGTCCCTTATATGCCCTCCTCAATCTCCACTAGTATCACCCTGAACTGTAGATTCTTTCTGCTTCTATTTGTCCCACAATACCCTAAATCAAGAATATGAGCTTTCATCTCAGAGTCAGAAACCATGTCTGCACCATCTGTTATCTCAACACCTCTCCTCCCAACACACACAATAGGTGCTCAATAAATCAGCATCGCATCAGAAATGACACGCTGAAGTTTAACTTGTATTTTTCCACTGAAGGATTCCATAGTAGAGTGGGAGTACTAACAACAAATCTATTTCTTATCCTCAGAACCCACTTGAGAGCTCAGCTGCAACTCGTGTTTCAGAGTTAGCACTGTTCAACAGAACTTTCTATGATGATGGAAATGTTCTACTGTATATCTGCAACTGTCCGATACAGCAGCCACTAGCCATATGTGGCTCCAGAGCTCTTGAAATGTGGTTAGTGTAAACGAGGAACTAAATTTTTATTATTCATTTATTTTTTAAATTTTTTATTTTAAGTAATGTCAATAGCCACTTGAGACTAGCACCTATTATGCTGGATAGTGGAGCTCTAGATTCTCTCTGATAAAGACCCTTTGTAGAAAGTAAAACTTCCCTCACTAGTTCAGCTGTTACTGGTCCCTGCCTTGTTCTTTCAGCTCAAGGGATTGGAAAGAGTGGGACAGGGTGTTTTTTATGAAGCATAAAGCCAGGGAACCCCACACGGTCAGTGATCCCTGCCTACCTGCAGAGGGTTTGGGAAAACTCATCATTCCACAGAGGGCAGAGCACACTTTTTAGACAGCCTCAGGCTGCTCTGGTGGATTCCAGGCAAACAGAGAGGCCAAGCTCACTGGGTCAGCTCTGCAAACTCTGACAATATTAGAGCTGGCTTAGGCTATCCAAACACTCAAGTTGGCCCAGAGTTACAGAGCAGGAGACAGGAGATTGATGGAAACAAGTGAATTACAGGCTCAAGACAAGGGGTTAGGTTATCTGCAAAATCAGATAGCTCTGTTTAAGGACAAAATGTCAGCTGGGTTAAAACTCTTGTCATTTATAGATTACCAACAAGCCAGTAACCATCATTAATAAGGAAATATTAGAAAACTGGTGGAGAAAGTACCCAGACTCTTCCCTCCCTCAGCTATGCAAAGGGCCCTTGAAGGTGTTGGAGCTCTGTTCCCAGCCTAAGTCTCAGCTTATTAGGATGATTAAGTGGCAGAGGGAGATGTGCAGAGAAGTCTGGGGGCTGGAGAAGTTGGAGAAGTTCCAAAAAGACCACCTTTTCAGCTTCCTTCCATGGAGGCACCTTTTCTTCTCTTTTTCTTGGTGTTCTAGAATGTCATGACTTCCATTATTTTGAACTGCCTAGTAAAGGAACTATTAAAATACGATTTAAACTTTGTTTTTCATAAAAATAAGTCAGTAAGTCAGAAATGTATCAATGGATCATTTTTTTTCTGATTTGGGGATGTCACCTGCTCTAGGCAAGGAGGTTAGAAGGATCCTAGTCAGTGGAAAACATCAAGAAAGGAGAGCTCAGTATTTCAGTTCCATGATCTTATCTTACTGCATCTGAGATACAGTGAAAGAGCCTAAGATTTCAGTTGGGCAGGCACAGATTCAAACATAGACACTGGGTTCAAATCTAAAACCCTCAAGGGCAAGTCCTTCTGAACTTCAGTTTTCTCATCTATAAAATGGGCATAACAACACCTATAATGCTAGAGGCTGTGAGAAAGAAAGACAATAATGTAAAATACCAAGCCCAGTGCTTGGCACACAGTAGGTACTACAATAACTCTGGGGTCCTGTTCTTGGATTATAAATGATAGCTCACAGTCCCTCACCTTATAGGAAAATCTCAGATTTCTGTTTCTTCCAGATACATTAACTCAGTAATCCAGATGTGATCAAAATAACAGCTTAGCACTTGCTAAGTTTTGCTGCACATTATCGCTTTTTCCTCACAACTACCCTGTTGGAGCAGTATTGTCATTACCCTACTTTATGAATTCAGAACCTGAGGATGAGAGATTTGACCAAAGTTACAAGTTAGTCAGCGGCAGAGTGAAGATTCACGTCCATCCCTGGGTGGCTTTAATGCCCATCCTGTGGAGTGCCAGGCACCCTGCCTTATAGAGATGACAATGGTCTGGTTGCCTGAGACTTCCTCCCCAGCAAGGAGCTCTCACCTGTGTAGTTCTTCATCTGAGGGCGAGTACTTGGCAGTGACATCAGCCAGCTCCCCAAAGATCTGCTTGCTGTAAACAGTGAGGGAGGAGAGCAGGATTAACTCCTGCCACGTAGAGCTCAGGAGGCACGTGTAATCCTTGATTGAGAGCTCGCAGAAGAAAGGCAGTTTCTTGATCCAGGCAATCTGCCTAAAAAGCAGCTCGTCAGCCAGGCGGCAAAGCAGGGCGAACAGCTCTGCCTGAGTCACAGCATATCTGGAGGGGGTACGGAGAGGGGAAAGTTACTTTTGGTGGCCAAAGCAGTGAGGATGGGGGCCAAGGAGGGAGATATTCCTAAGGGCACAAAGGGTCTCTGGCAGTGGGCTCCTTGCCCTTGACCATGGATCTCCAGTTTCATTCAATTCAGTCTAATGATAAAAAGGATAGGACTGGGGCCCACAGCAAGCTCAAGGCTGGAGAGGCAGGTTTGGCAAGAAAAGGTTACAAAGGGGAAAGGAGGCTTAAAAATTTGGGCAGTTGTCAGGAGTATGACTTTTAATCTCGGTGTCCACTAATGCTTCATGTGTTACAAAAAAATTCCCAGTCATTCGTGCACCAGTTTGGGCAATGAAAGCTCAATTAGGGTACATCTGGTGCCCACTTAATACATGGGTTGACACAAAACTCAATGTAGTCAATCGAGTCAACCATGATTGAGCTAGCCGTGGGGCAAGATAACTGAAAGAGAATACAACACGTTCAGAAGCTTTTCTTGCTCTCATGGCACCCCCTGGTGGTGAGAATTCAGGAAACTAGAGTTGCTCGGCTCTTCTAAACTACTGTGCAATGGAAGGAACAGGGCCTTCCTCATCTCTGGGCTGGAGGAAATAGGGTCCCAGTTTTCTTTTTCTCAAGGCCCTGTTGTGTGACTCTTCTCCACACCCCCACATCTGACTTGTAAAGGTTTGATGATGGCTTCCCTGTAGGAAGATAATTGAATTTCCTCTTCTGAAACTGGAGACTAGCTTAAGAAATCTCAGGGTATCTTGGGCGGGCAGTGAGGAAGAAGGAGATCTAAGCTTAATAACACTCAAATGGCCTATGGTTCAGGTCAAATGACTACTGAGTACAGCAATGGGTAGGCCTAAATGGATGAACTATTATCTACTCAGGCAGAGCTGACAGGACTGAGAGTATTTCTTCCACTCACTCAGGCCTGCACACAGAGCACATGGCACCATGTTGACCAGGGATACAGACAGGCCACGACCAGTACTATGTTAAGAAGCCTAAACCTAATGCAAAATTATATCCAGAATTACAGCTCATCTCTGGCACATCTCTGGCACATTTCACAAGGTCTGGCTTACTTAAGCCCAACCAGAAACAAAAGCCCTTTAATCCCAGTTCCATTGGGACAGATAAATAGACCCAGCTCTATGAGAAAAGATGTTCAAGAGAAAAATGAGAGACCACTGACTTCAATGATAAGCACAGATTTGTCCTCTGATGCCTGAGTCATCACGTATTATACCCTGACTCATTTCAAAGCCTGGGGTAGAGAAGCCTGGGATGAAGGTGGGTGTGGGGAAGGGGCCACATTGAAGCTACAGGGCTAAACACAGCAAGGCTCACTCACCCATCTTCAATCAACATGGGCGTGCCCAATGGCTCCAGGTCCTCGGCTGACACCAGCTGATGAATCAGACTGTATGACTGGGGATCCAGGCTTCGAGCTTGTGGGGGCAGAAGTGGCGAGTGGGCAGAATAGCTAAAAAGGTGCGGTATATATTGATAGTGTGGAGGCACAGACATCCCCATGTACTGATCCCTGAATGCCACGAATCCATTTAATTCCACAGACCTGCTGGAGAGAAAAGTCTCATGTCAAGCAGAACCATCACGAGTCCACTGCCCCCTCAGAGGAAGTGAGCCAGGAAGTGGCTCAGGTGTTCTTTGGCTATGCTCCCTGTCTTCAGTAAGCCAGGACCACAGTCAATGGTAGCATGCACGTCTCCCCTACTCGATGGGGACTCTGTGCGAGTGTGTATAGGCGTGGCTAACCTTTGGACACTCAGGACCTGGCAGAGTTGTACTGAATAAATACTGATTACATGATCTCTTTGTCACATATGGGGAGTTTCACAGAATATTCATAGACTGTGATGACAAAGGTGAGTGTTTATATTTTATACTGCTAGGACAACTAAGTCAGAGACAGGCTAAGTGTCTTGCCAGACCACAAAACAAATCAGCACCAAGCAAAGAACCTGGCATGTGGCAACAACTCCCTGAACATTCAAAGGAAGGAACCAACTAGGGAACAAATGAATGAATAAAAACTATAATGAAACATATCAAGAGAAAGGCACATTCTTATCTTCCCCCCTTTATGGAGGAATCTAACCATTCATTCAACTAATATTACCTAGATGCATCTCCTGTAACAGGGCTGGCAAACTATAAACCATGGCCTGTTTTGCTAAGTGAAGCTTTATTAGAACACAGCCACACTCATTCATTTACCTATTGTCTCTGGTTGCTTTTGCACTACAATGGCAGAACTCAGTAGCTGAGACCTAGACTGTATGGCCTGCAAAGCCTAAAATATTTACTATCTGGTCTTTATTAAAAAATGTCCTATTGCAGAGATTTCTGGAAAAAAGAATCTTCTTTGGTGATCGTTATATTTCACACCTAACAACTAACTTAAGATACCATTCTAGCACCATGAGTTAAAAAACTGGTATTTCAGAATACCAGCAAATCTGACTTACTTGAAGTTTTCACTGTTTCTTAAAATTTATAATGTGAAAATCTTTATTCTTGCTGAGGCAGAGAAATGATAGCTTAGTCCAATATTGTCAATGTGTCTTTTTTCCCCCAGTGAAAAAATAACCGACAGAAAAGAGCTACAATTAAAATGTCATTCTATTAGGTGAAGAAAGTATGGACACAAATAGTGGCTACAGCACTTTAGCAGTCTGCTAGAGAATGCCAACATTTTCAAGGTCTTTAGCTAAAAAATGGGCTGCAAAATGCTGCTTTGCATTATCCTGACTCCTACCCCAAAAGACTGAGGAAGCAAAAGTACAGTAGCTCAGACAGATGAGCAGGAATAGCAGCCCAGCCCTGAGGCTGCCTGCTTGTGAGTCCACTCTTTGGGTGATCCCCAGATGATGCTGGGTTTGCCTTGAAGCTCACCTGGAGGAGAGTGTAGAGCCGGGTGAGGGCTGGTTGCTCTCTGAAGCCCTGTTCCCAGGGGAACTGTGGTCGCTGTCACCATGGTTGCTCCAATGATTGGCCTCTTCCTCAAATTCTTGCCCAGACATAATCCTTTCGATCTCCTCCTCTGATATCTTTAATAAGGCATTGATATATGTTAGACTGAGTGCTCAGGATACCCTCTGTTCCTTCTTTAGGACTGAGAACTTATTTAAACTTCATGGGGATTCCTAGAACTCTCTAGAGAGAAAACCAAATTTCCTCCCCTCCACCCCCATACCTCAGGTCTTCTCTCATAATCTTAGGACAGCTTGGTTGCCTACCAGCACTATGGCTCACCATAGCCTTCCTTTTGCCCATTTCCCCTCCTCCTCTCAAGCCATAAAGCCTCCAGGTTCCTCAACATTCCTCTTTGTCCTTCATCTAGTCTTTCCTACTGTTGAAATACCACTCTTCAATAACAAACTCCTACTTGCACTTTAAGACCCAATTCAAATGTCACCTTTGTTTTGATTCATTCTATTACTAAGCTCGGATAGAATTTTAGGTCTTTCTTCTATCCACTCATATAATTCTGTGTATTCTGAGAGACAGAATAGCATAACAGTTAAGAGTTTGAATTTTACAGTCAAATCACCTTTGTTCTAATCCAGGTTCTGCCACTTTCTAGTTGTACCATCTCAGAGCAAGTCATATAATTATGTAAACCTAAGTGCTTTCATCTGTATAATGGAGAGAATAATATTAAGTATCATATAGGACTGTTGTGAGGATTAAATTAGTTAATATATTAACCCATGTTTAGAAAAGAGCCTCGCACATAGTAACTATTATAGAAGGTTGACAATGATATCTTCATTACCACTGGATAATGTATCACAAAAATATCCCCAATAAGACCTTAGGCCATGACAGGATCTAGAAGAAAGCAGTACTCAAATAAATGCATGATGGACAAGTGAATAAATGTCCACTTATTAAGTACTGACTATACACCTTCACATGAGTCTTCTTAGTAAGAAAGACATTTCTAAGCCTACTGAATAAAAGAAACTATAGCTCCAACAAGCAAACTGGCCTGCGCATGTCTGAGCAGGAGCCTGAGGAAGAGGCCGGAGTAGCCATGTATGCAGTCCAGGGCTCTAGCTGCAGTGCCACACAGGGAGTGGCCGAACACGCCTTCCGTCAAGTGTGTAACCCAGGGTTGAGGCCAAGGTGGCTAAAGTCAGCACACGCAACAGGAGTGAATGCTGAGTAGGAAGGCAGATGAATTTTTGCTTTTTGTTCCTAAGAAAAGCCTGGGAAGACATTTTCTCCCAAGTCTATCTGACTCAAAACTGCATACTTCTTTGTTGCAGCAGCCTATGGGGGAACTTAGAGCTGCTCCAATCATAAACACAGGAGACATTTAGAACTGGAAGTCAGCCAACACAGAGGACTTGGAGGGAAAACGAGAATGTTTACGCGGTGCTCAAGCTGAGTGATTGGTTTTAAGTAGCTTAGACTGCATATTGAATTAGAGGGTTTGTCTTTTTTTATTCAGTCACATGTAGCAAAAAAATAAAATAAAATAAAACATCGACCCAAATCTTTTTTCTTAGAAGTCTGCAAAACACAGAACATTCTTTACATTTAATGAGACACTGGAAGACAAACGGTGCCATCAAATTACAAAATATCTAGTGAGGCCCTGAATGTGTAGCCTCAGTGATGGTGGTGACAGCAAGACCAGAGCATGGAGGGCATGAAAGTACTTGAGTGTGGTGAGAAGGGCCAGTTATGATAAAATCACGCTTATCCTGGCTGGAGTCAAAGTTGGACTGTAGCAGTCTCTCCCTGTGGGTCCCATGGGACACTAAGCAATCACTAATGCACTGAACAGGAGATGGGGCGTGTTGGGAGTGTCTGAATCTGGGTTTAAATCTCATCCACCATTTCCTATCTAGGTACTTATTGTTGAGCAAATCATTCAAGTTCTCTGAACCTTAGCTCCCTCATCAGTAAAACAGAGATAACATTCCCTCACAGCTCATGGTTCCCCCACTAGATGCTGGAGCAAACCTCACTATCTAACAGGTTAAGTAATATAGACTTGGGAGGTTAATCTAAGATAAAGTTATTAAGTTCATGGGCACAACAGGTGCTCAATAAGTGGAAATTCTATTTCTTTTTATTTTTAATTACAATTAAGGACGTGGAGATAACAGCTCTCTCTTCCTAACATACCACCTAGAAACAGAAAAAGACTAAAAAGAAAATTATATGCCCAGTATCAAAACCACAAATGCAATGACAAGATGAAACAGATTTTTCTGAGCATCAGTTTCCTCAATTCTGGAGAGAACAGAGAGTCTGTAGATATAAATGACTGAAGATCCCTTGGCATGCTGAGAGAGTCACAGAAGGTACTCAAAGAACATTAGGTAATACTGAGGAGGGTTTTTAATTGAGGAAATGCTTAAGAATTCTTCCCAATGGATAAACTTACTACTGTATCTAAATATAAAAAGAACGAATACAAATAAAGACCATATGTGAAAAGCCCATAGCTAATATCATACCCAAAGGTAAAAAATGGAAAGCTTTTCCTCTAAGATCAGGATCAAGGCAAGGATGCCCACTATTACCGCATTTATTCTACATATTACTGGAAGTCGCAGAGCACTAGGCAAATTAAAAAAGGAAAGAAAGAAAGAAAAGGCATTCAAGTTAGAAAGGAAGAAGCAAAATTATTTCTGTTCACAGAAGATATACAGTCTTTCTATGTCTTTAAAGATGTCACCAAAAAGCTATTAGAACTAATCAGAGAATTCAGCAAGGCTGTAGGATACAAAGCCAACATGGAAAATTAGTTGCATTTTATATACTAACAATGAATTAGCTGGAGAGAAAATTAAGAAAGCAATCTCATTTACAATAGCATTAAAAAAGAATAAAATACTTAGGAATAAACTTAACTAAGGAGGTGAAAGACTCATACACTGCTCAAAGAAATTAAAGACAGAAATAAATGGAAAGTCATCCTGTGTTTATAGATTAAAAGACTTAACATCCTTAAAAACTCCATACTATCCAAAGTGTCCTATAGATTCAATGCAATCCTTATCAAAATTCCAATGGCATTTTTTTCTGCAGAAAAAAAAAAATCCTAAAATTCATATGAAATCACAAAGAACCCCAAACAGCCAAAACAATCCTGAGAAAGAACAACAAAGCTAGAGGCCTTGTATTTTCTGATTTCAAAACATATTACAAAGCTAAAGTAATCAGAACAGTAAAGTGCTGGCGCAAGGACAGACATACAGATCCCCCAAATAAGCTCAGACTTATGGTCAAAATCTTTGACAAAGTTGCCAAGACTACACGATAGGAAAAGGAGAATATCTTCAACAAGTGGTGCTGGGAAAACCACCTATCCACATGCAAAAGAATGAAATTAGTTTTACCTATACTATATGCAAAAAGCAACTCAATGGATTAAAGACAAACATAAAACTTAAAAAACTCCTAAAAGCAAACATAGAGAAAGTTTCTTGACACTGATTTTTTTTTTCTTAAATTGAAGTATAGTTAACTTACAACATTGTGGTAGGTTCAGGTTTATAACACAGTGATAGGTACAAGATAATGGGTGTAATTCCCTGTGCTATAAAGTATTATCCTGTTGTTTATCTATTTTATATATAGTAGCTCATATTTGTTAATCCAATAACCCTAATTTATCAATGAATTTGTGAATATGACACCAAAGCAAAAACAGACAAATGGAATTACATTAAACTAAAAGACTTCTGCAAAACAAAGTCAACAAAGTGAATGGGCACCTTCCAGAAAATTTTTACAAACCATATATCTGATAAAGGTTAATATTCAAAATATATAAGGAATTCCTACAACCCACTAGTCAATTAAATTAATGAGCCTGATCAAAAAAATAGCAAAATACTTAATAGACATTTCTTCAAAAAAAAATATGAATACCCAAAAAGGCATATGAAAAGATGCTCAATGTTACCAATCATCAGGGAAATGCAAATCAAAGCCATAATGAGATATCACCTCATACCTATTTGGATGGCCAGCATCAAATAAACAACTATGCGAACAAACAAAAAACCCCCAGAAAACAAGAAGTGCTGGAGAGGATGCAGAAAATTAGAACCCTGTGCACTTGGGTGGGAATATAAAATGGTGTGGTGACTGTGTAAAATAGCATGGAGGTTTCTCAAAAACTTAAAAATAGAATTACCATATGATCCAGTAATCCCATTCAGGGTATTTATCCAAAAGAGTTGAAAATAGGATCTTGAAGAGATACTTGCCCTCCCATGTGCATTGTAGCCAAGGCCACTGTCACTATAGCCAAGAGGTAGAAACAATCCAAATGTCCATCAATGGATGAAAAAACAAAATGTGCTATATATTACTTACAATAACCAGGCCATGGAAGCAACCTAAATGCCCATCAACAGAGGAATGGATAAAGGTGTGATACATATATACATATACACAGTGGAATATTATTCAGCCATAAAAAAGAACGAAATAATGCCACCTGCAGCAACATGGATGGGACCCAGAGACTGTCATACTGAGTGAAAGTAAGCCAAAGAAAGATAAATATCATATGATATAGCTTTTATGTGGAATCTAAAAAAATAGTACAAATGAGCTTATGTAGAAAACAAACGTATGGTTACCAGGGGGTAATGGGTGGGGAGGCTCAGAGACTGGGATTAAGAATCTCCTGTACCAACTACCCAAAGCAATCTATAGATTCAATGCAATCCCTATCAAGCTACCAACGGTATTTTTCACAGAACTAGAACAAATAATTTCACAATTTGTATGGAAATACAAAAAACCTCGAATAGCCAAAGTAACCTTGAGAAAGAAGAATGGAACTGGAGGAATCAACCTGCCTGACTTCAGACTATACTACAAAGCCACAGTCATCAAGACAGTATGGTACTGGCACAAAGACAGAAATATAGATCAATGGAACAGAATAGAAAGCCCAGAGATAAATCCACGAACCTATGGTCACCTTATCTTTGACAAAGGAGGCAAGGGTATACAATGGAAAAAAGACAACCTCTTTAACAAGTGGTGCTGGGAAAACTGGTCAACCACCTGTAAAAGAATGAAACTAGAACACTTTCTAACACCATACACAAAAATAAACTCAAAATGGATTAAAGATCTAAATGTAAGACCAGAAACTATAAAACTCCTAGAGGAGAACATAGGCAAAACACTCTCTGACATAAATCACAGCAGGATCCTCTATGACCCACATCCCAGAATTTTAGAAACAAAAGCAAAAATAAACAAATGGGACCTAATGAAACTTAAAAGCTTTTGCACAACAAAGGAAACTATAAGCAAGGTGAAAAGACAGCCCTCAGATTGGGAGAAAATAATAGCAAACGAAGCAACAGACAAAGGATTAATCTCAAAAATATATAAGCAACTCCTCCAGCTCAACTCCAGAAAAATAAATGACCCAATCAAAAAATGGGCCAAAGAACTAAACAGACATTTCTCCAAAGAAGACATACAGATGGCTAACAAACACATGAAAAGATGCTCAACATCACTCATTATCAGAGAAATGCAAATCAAAACCACAATGAGGTACCATTACACGCCAGTCAGGATGGCTGCTATCCAAAAGTCTACAAGCAATAAATGCTGGAGAGGGTGTGGAGAAAAGGGAACCCTCTTATACTGTTGGTGGGAATGCAAATTAGTACAGCCGCTATGGAAAACAGTGTGGAGATTTCTTAAAAAGCTGGAAATAGAACTGCCATATGACCCAGCAATCCCACTTCTGGGCATACACACCAAGGAAACCAGATCTGAAAGAGACACGTGCACCCCAATGTTCATCGCAGCACTGTTTATAATAGCCAGGACATGGAAGCAACCTAGATGCCCATCAGCAGACGAATGGATGAGGAAGCTGTGGTACATATACACCATGGAATATTACTCAGCCATTAAAAAGAATTCATTTGAATCAGTTCTAATGAGATGGATGAAACTGGAGCCCATTATACAGAGTGAAGTAAGCCAGAAAGATAAAGACCATTACAGTATGCTAACACATATATATGGAATTTAGAAAGATGGTAATGATAACCCTATATGCAAAACAGAGAAAGAGACTCAGATGTATAGAACAGACTTGTGGACTCTGGGAGAAGGCGAGGGTGGGATGTTTCAAGAGAACAGCATCGAAACATGTATATTATCTAGGGTGAAACAGATCACCAGCCCAGGTTGGGTGCATGAGACAAGTGCTCGGGCCTGGTGCACTGGGAAGACCCAGAGGGATCAGGTGGAGAGGGAGGTGGGAGCGGGGAGGGGGGACCGGTATGGGGAATACATGTAAATCCATGGCTAATTCATTTCAATGTATGACAAAAACCACTGCAATGATGTAAAGTAATTAGCCTCCAACTAATAAAAATAAATGGAAAAAAAAAAAAAAAAGAATCTCCTGTACCAGTACTATATACAAAATAGGTAATTTAAAAGGGACCTATTCTACAGTACCGGGAACTCTACTCAACACTCAGTAATGGCCTATAACAGGAACAGAACCTAAAAAATGAGTGGACATATGTATAACTGATTCACTTTGTTGTACAACAGAAACACAACACTGTAAATCAACGATACTCCAATAAAAGTTAAAAGCAAAAACCATAGAGCAAAACCAAAAAACCCAAAAAGTACTATATACAAAAATGGAGTATTACTCAGAATTAAAAAGGAAGGAATCCTGTCATGTGCTACAACATGGATGAATCTTAAGGACATTATGCTAAGTGAAATAAGGCAGTCACAGAAGGACAAGTACTGCATGATGCCACTTATATGATGTATCAAAAGTTGTCAAACTCTTAGAAGGGGAAAGTAGAATGATGGTTGTCAGGGATTGGGGGGAAGGAGAAATACGGAGTTACTACTAAAGTTACAGTCACAAGCTTAAAAAGTTCTAGAGATCTGCTATACAAAATATGCATATAGTTGACACTACTATATTATACACTTAATTTTTTAAGGACGTATATTTCATGTTATATGTTTTTATCACACAAAATAGAGCAGATATGAATGGAGACTGAAATATATTAATTTGTAAAAGATATAAATTATTTGAATAAGTGAATAAAAATGTTTGATTAAAAAGAGAATCCAACTGAGTGCATATGTATACCAGGCTCACATGACAGAAAACCCTCCCATATATCATCAGTGTATGTCTTATGACAACTCTGAATTCCTGTCTTTCTCTCATTCCCCCATATTCAATTGGATAACTCCTATCAATTTTACCTATTAAATATTTCTTGAATCTATTCCCTTTCCTCAATATGCACTATTACCGCCCTATTTGAAACCACAGTCTGTATCTCTTGCCTGGACTTCTGTAACATTCTCCCCACATCCCCTGCTTTTTTTTTGGGGGGGGGTCACATGGTATATGGGATCTTATCTCCCCAACTAGGGATAGAACCCACATCACTTGCAATGGAAGCACGGAGCCTTAACTACTCGACCACCAGGGAAGTCCTATAAAATCCTTTTAACTGCTTTTTCTCTGCCACCAGTTTCACCCACCTTTAATCCAGGTCTTCAAAAACATGTCTTTCCCACCAGACTGAGTTTACAGCACAGAGGGCCTGGCAAACAGGAACCACTACCGAGTACATGTTTGTGGGACTGGATGTGTATTACCTTCCTTACTTTACTAATAAGGCAGTGAACTTTACGTGGAAATACCTTTAACAACAATGAATAGCTAAGTAGTCTTGCTGATTTCTGCCAGACTAACTACAAACTACAACCTACAACCTTAAGTGACTGACATAAAAATCCTCTGGGAGATTCCCTGGCACTCCAGTGGTTAGAACTCCATGCTGTCAGTGCCGAGGGCCTGGGTTCAATCCCTGGTCAGGGAAGTGAGATCCCATAAGCCATGTGGCCAAAAAGTTAACAAATAAATTATCCTCTGGATGCTTTAGAACCAGGATTGGGTTCACCTTCTGTAAAAATCCTTTAAGCAAGTTGAGGGATCACAAGAACTTTAATCATTATCTTTATATATTTAAGATTTTCAAAACACATTCATACCCAGGTTCTAAAAGCAGTTTAACAGGAATGAAAGTAAAGTTGGCTCCCCACCAGAAGCAGATAGGAGGATCAAGGTGAGCAGCTTCAGGACCATCTGGAGGCTTCAGCTTCCAGGGTGCATCACACAGAATAAGAACCAGAACTCACCTGGACTGGCCCAATGCTCTTATTCCGGCCTCCGGGCATGCCATCTTCTCTGATTGCTGGAAGTAAATATAAAATAGTAAGAAGCATGCCCACAAGAGTCCAGGCACAAAAAGAGAACTTATTTGGCCAAAAGCACAAGGCAGTAATTGGTGAAGCTAACATTAAAACACAGGTCTTTCTGGACCCGAAGCACATATTCTTTCCATCATAGGCAGCAGATACTTTTGGGCTCCCAAGGCACTGGATACACACACTGTATACATTCAATATGCTCAACAAACATGATGGCATTATTATAGTCCTACAGCTACAAATATCCCACCAGGATGATGAATTTGAAAGCCTTGATAAATTCAAGAAGGTTGGGTGGAAGAAAAAAGGAATATTTCCATTTTTAAATACAGTATTTTTACTTCCAGTCTAGGTTATCCAATTTATAAAGTCCTTAGGGCATGGCTGGTTACTTGAAAAGGTAAAGGCTCCAAGCCTAACAGTTACCTGGGATAATTGAAAGGCTGACAGGAAGTTTGTTTTCCTTAAAGCAGAAATCATTCTTGGTGTTAGAAGAATACACATTCCAACTTAAGACAAGCTGGAGTCAAATCCTGTTTTTGCCAGGTCTGAGTAATTACAAACAAGTTTATTCATCTCTCTGAATTTCAGTTTTACAGAAAAACAAAGAGGAATATTGGAACCTGTCTTATGGGGAATTGTGAGGGTTATATATAATTTAGCTAAAGCTCTAAGAATAGGGCCTGGTATTTCCTGGTGGCTCAGAAAGTGAAGAATCTGCCCGCAATGCAGGCGACCTGCGTTTGATCCCTGGGTTGGAAAGATCCCCTGGAGAAGGAAATGGCAACCCCACTCCAGTATTCTTGCCTGGGAAATCCCATGGACAGAGGAGCCTGGTGGGCTGCAGTCCCTGGGGTTGCAAAGAGTTAGATACGACTGAGTGACTGCTTTCTACTTATGAAGCAGGAGGTAACAGTTTGCTTTAAAAGGCTGCTGTGAATTGGGGGCAAGAAACATATACAGTTAGATATATATTACCTAGAGACATGATGGTTGTGGTTTAGAAGCTCTCTTTTAACCTAATTTCAAGTTCTAAACATTTTAAAATTCCTTTGCTGCTGTTCCAGGGTCAGTGACAGTCTTTAGACACTTCTATTTCCAATACTGATATTTCACACGTACCTTTGCTTCAGCTCACAGGTACAGAACAAAAATCTATCATTGGCAGGTACAACACTGAATATTTCTCACTTGATATTTCAGTCTCAATGTCTTGGAGGTGAGGAAGGAATTCAACATGCTTTCCTTCTTGTTTAAAGTGCCATAAATTTTAAAGATTTACATCTTACCAATTTCCTGTTTTGTTATTTAAAAACTTGTGCTGTCCCTCAACCCCACCTGAAGTAAGAAACTCATATATATGTTAGGTATTGTCATGCTAAGTTAACCCATGAGTAAAGTATTATTAGTATTATCACTCCCACTGAACAAATAACTCTAATGGCTCAGAAAAATATTTTACTTTGAGTGATAGAAACTAAATATTAGAATCAAGATTTGGAGCCCAGGCTATCAGATTAAAACCAACTTTCATTCCACCACTATAATTTCCTTAAATGTGTGTGCATCCCACTAGAGAAACATAATTTTAGGTTGTGCATAGATAATCTTTCAATTATACACTTATCCTAAATGTCCATTAAAAAATACTGATTTTTCCATTCACTGAAGTGCTAAAAACTGTTTGAAAATTCACTTTCTTTCAAAAAGATAATTTAAAGAAGAACATAAAGTAAACAACAGTACTGGTTTAATCAGAGATGGTAACGTTTGTTAAAATGGCATGAAACTGCCTGAAGTGTGGGCAACAACATTATGTGTCACAGTGCCTCTGTTAAAACAAAAATTTGGCTCATAGTTTAAAACTTATATCATACTCAGATATACTGATCCTCACAACAACCTTTTTAAAAAGCATATATTAAAAGTCTGTTCTTTACCTCTATATCTTCTTTGCTACAGATGTAAAGAACAGACTTCTGGGCTCAGTGGGAGAAGGAGAGGATGGGATGATTTAAGAGAATAGCACTGAAACATGTACAATACCATATGTAAAATAGATGGACAGTGTAAGTTCGATGCATGAAGCAGGGCACCCAAAGCTGGTGCTCTGGGACAACCCAGAGGGATAGGGTGGGAAGGGAGGTAGGAGGGTAGTTTAGAATGGGGCGGGGGGGGGACACACGTATACCTGTGGCCAATTCATGTTGATATATGGCGAAAACCATCTCAATATTGTAAAGCAGTTATCCTCCAATTAAAATAAATTAATTAAAAAATAAAACAGCAGCGCACACACACACACACACAAAGTATACGTTAATATTATCTTGTGCAGTTTAGACAAAAAAGGACTTGTTCAAGGTTACTCAGTTAAGAACTGATAGAGCAGGGATTTCAATTTAGGTTTTCTTATTCTAAAGCTGTACTTGTTCCTTGATGCTACATTGAATTAAGAGCAAGTTTTTCAGCAGGGCTGAGTCTTTCTGGTAGTGAACTTACTTAAAACAACAAAACAAAGGGCTTTGGGGTAGAATCACAGAAAGAGTTCTGCTGCACCTCTCATCTAAACCTAAGAGAATGGCATCAGCTATGGTTCTTCTATCTGCTCACAAGAAGCACAAATATTTTTTCCTGCTCTAGAACACATTCCTCACCTGCTTAGGTTGGGTAGCCAACCAAAACCTAGAAACCAGAAAGACAAACAGACACAAAGCTAACTACATCAAACCCCTGCTCAAAATCCACTGGGTTCATTGTGGTCTATGGGTTAATTAAATTCAAGTTCCCTGGCTTGGCATTCAAGATTCTCTGGGATCTGGTTCTTATGGGACTCTCCATTCTCCTCTTGCAGATGACACCACCCTTTTGGCAGAAAGTGAAGAGAAACTAAAAAGCCTCTTGATGAAAGTGAAAGAGGAGAGTGAAAAAGTTGGCTTAAAGCTCAACATTCAGAAAACTAAGATCATGGCATCTGGTCCCATCACTTCATGGGAAATAGATGGGGAAACAGTGGAAACAGTGTCAGGCTTTATTTTTGGGGGCTCCAAAATCACTGCAGATGGTGATTGCAGCCATGAAATTAAAAGACGCTTACTCCTTGGAAGGCAAGTTATGACCAACCTAGATAGCATATTAAAAAGCAGAGACATTACTTTGCCAACAAAGGTCCATCTGGTCAAGGCTATGGTTTTTCCAGTGGTCGTGTATGGATGTGAGAGTTGGACAATGAAGAAAGCTGAGCACCGAAGAATTGATGCTTTTGAACTGTGGTATTGGAGAAGTCTCTTGAGAGTCCCTTGGACGGCAAGGAGATCCAACCAGTCCATCCTAAAGGAGATCAGTCCTGGGTGTTCACTGGAAGGACTGATGCTGAAGCTGAAACTCCTATACTTTGGCCACCTCATGTAAAGAGTTGACTCATTGGAAAAGACCCTGATGCTGGGAGGGATTTGGGGCAGGAGAAGGGGACGACAAAGGATGAGATGGCTGGATAGCATCACCAACTCGATGGGCATGAGTTTGGGTAAACTCTGGGAGTTGGTGATGCACAGGGAGGCCTGGCGTGCTGTGGTTCATGGGGTCGCAGAGAGTCAGACACGACTGAACGACTGAACTGAACTGATTCTCATCTTATACCATAAATGTTACATTGTACCTATAGAGAACTGTTAGTTCCTGAATATGCCATGCTGTTTTACAACAGTTTTGCCTCTGCACATATTGTTGCCTCTATTCAGAAAGAAACTCTATAGCGGAAAATCTGATGACATCACCTTACCCAAGTGAGACCACCTTAACTAAGTGGTCCAAGTTAACATGACCAATAATAGGAAAAACTTATACCATGTACTCTTTTTAATTTTTAAATTCATGTTATTTATTTTTGGCTGTGCTGGGTCACTGCTGCACGGGCTTTTTCTGAGCACAGGCTCAACAGCTGAGGCACATGGGCTTAGTCGCTCTGTGGCATGTGGGATCCTCCTGGATCAGGGGTCAAATCTGTGTCTCCTGTATTGGCAGGTGGATTCTTTACCAATGAGCCACCAGGGAAGCCCACCATGCACTCCTGATAGGATGTACTAAAAGACACAACATTGCATCTGTGGCATTCTCACCAAAACTGTGTCAAGAGCAACCTAACTATGAGAAAACTGACAAACCCAAATTAAGGGACAGTCTAGAGAATAAGTGATTTAAGATAAGAAAATAATGAGGAACCACTTCAGATTAAAGGTGATTAAAGAGACCTAAGAACTAAATATAATGTGTGATTTTGGACTGGCTTCTGGATTAGAAAATAGAAACTGCTACGAGGGACATTGGGATAACTAGTGAAACTTAAATATGACCGGCAATTAATTAATAGTATTGTTATTGCTGTTCAGTTGCCAAGTCGTGCCCGAATCTCTGCAACCCCATGAACTGCAGCATGCCAGGCTTCCCTGTCCTTCACTATCTCCCTGAGTTTGCTCAAACTTACATCCACTGAGTTAGTGATACCATCCAACTATCTGTCGCCCCCTTCTCCTCTTGCTCTCAATCTTTTCCAACATCAGGGTCTTTTTCAATGAGTCAGCTCTTCACAGCAGGTGCCCAAAATATTGGAGCTTCAGTTTTAGCACCAGTTCTTTCAATGAAAATTTAGGGTTGATTTCCTTTAGGACTGACTGGATTGATCTTGCAGTCCAAGGGACTCTCAAGAGTCTTCTCCAGCACCACAGTTCCAAGGCATTTATTCTTCAGCGCTCAGCCTTCTTTATGGTCCAACTGTCACATCCATACATGACCACTGGAAAAACCATAGCTTTGACTATATGGACGACTTGTCAGCAAGTGATGTCTCTGCTTTTTAACACACTGTGCAGATTTGTCACAGCTTTTCTTCCAAGGAGCAAGCATCTTTTAATTTCATATTAATAGTATTATGTCATGTTAAATTTCCTGATTTTGATAACAGTGCTGTAATTATGTGAGAAGCGAAGGGAAATGAATCTTCAACTTACTCTCAAATAGTAAATAATACACATCAAGGAAGAGACCGAAGTGGGAGTCATTTTTACAAAGCTCTTGAAGTTTCTAAGGAGATTGATCTTCTTTTCCTTTAAGACTTCTGCTCAAATATTTTCCCTCCTTTCTTGGTACTCTGTGTTTATCCTGGTCAAGAGACATGGCAATGCCACAGCATCCCTATCTCATAATGTCCTTCTACAAATACCAACCTCCTCCAAGAAGGCTGACTTGAGAGGACTTTTGAACTAGTTATCTAGCAAGTTATGAGACAACAGAGTTAAGGGAATTTTATATTTCCACATAACTACTTAACTGATAGGAATTTCCCACGTGGCTCAGTGTAGTTTCCTCTTGCCTCTAATGATTTTAACAACATTTCCCTCACCCAACTTCCTATCCAGTCTCCCCTATCCCTGACCAACCACAGTCAATTCATCAAACCAGGAAGCATCCTACACCAAAAGGGATATAAGAGAAAAGTAAGAGTTGGCCACAGCCCTTGAAAGGATCACTCAATAATGGCAGGAACAGACAAAGAGCACAAGGTGATCAGTACTATGCAGAGGGCAAAAATGGGTTACGGAAGTACAAGAAGGTCATCGGGTGAGTGGAGGGTGGTGTCAGAGAAGGTTTCTCAGAAGATGTTACAAATAAAAACTGAGTGAAGAAGTCAGGTGAAGAAAAAGGTGGTAGAATATTCTTGGAAGATGAAACCAAATGTGCAAAGCCACCAAAACATGAAACATCCTGAGTTCTTAAGAGAACTGGATTATGTGGGAAGAGCACATAATTCTTCCCCCTATGTGGAGGGAAGGAAAGGGATGCCAGAGGGGTCTTGAAAATTATTCTGAGGACTCCTGACTTTAAGATGTGTGGCGAGAATGTGTATTGGGGGCATTCAGGTAGTAGTGGGGATGAAAAGAAAGGGTCCAGCCTCTACTTCCCACCATTATTTAAATCTCCCTCATTGACTTGTTAATTAATTTCCTGACTGGCCCGTTTTGAGTTCTGAAACGATATCTGTGTCAAAGACAGGGGACACAAACTAGGGTACACATGACAGCTGTATTTTTTAATAGTTAATTTTTTAAAATTTGAGGCCAAGTTTAGATTTATAGAACAATGGTAAAAATAATAAAGACAATGTCCATATACTCCTCACCCAGCTTTCCCTTCTATAAACTAAGCTTACATAGCCACAGACCATTCATCAGAACTAGAAAATTAACTTTGGCACAACACTATTCACCAAAGACTTTATTCAGATTTCCCTAGTTCTACTAATATCTTTTTCCTGTTCCAGAATCCAACCCAGGATCTCACAATGCATGTAGCTGTCATGTCTCCATAGTCTCCTCCAGTCTGTGACAGCTTCGTAGTCTTTATGACCTTGACACTTTTGGAGACTTTTGTAGAATGCCAGTTACTTTGAATATTGCTGGATGTTTTCTCACGATTTGACTGGGAAATGGATCTTTCCATCCCTCTGTGTGTACATGTGCCTATGTGCCCTTTTCAGTGATCACACTGGGGATACAAGATGCCCGTGTAAACACATTCATGCTACTCTTGATCTCTCAGCTAAAGGTTATCTGTCAGAATTCTCTACTGAAATGTACTATTTTTCTCTTTGTAATTACTAAATATTCTGATTCTGTTTAAATCCATGGCCTTTTACTTTAGCATCCATCAGTAGATCTTGCCTATAGCAACCACTATGGTGCTCTAATGGTGACTTTCCATTTCTCTTATCTTCTCTACAACTTAGAATTCTTCAATAAGGAAGAACCATCATTCCTCTATTTATTCAGTTCGTTTTTTCAGTATGAACTCATGGATATTTCATTCTTTGGGTTATAAACTAATATAAACTAACATATATCTATATCTATAGCACATTCTAACATTTTGGCCCCACAAGATGCTCCAGACTCACTTTTATATATTCCCTGCCTCAGTCCTAAAGTCAACCAGTTCTCCAGAGAGTCCCGATTCCTTTTCACTGATATTAAGAAACCAAGGTATGGATAATAGGTGTGCTCATTACTCTTGGGGGTGTAACTGCTTCTAGCCCCTCACAATGCCTAGAGTCAGGCAATATATGTATATATACCAAATTCATGGATCTACATACACAACTATTTTTTTAATCTACCTAAACATGAATCCATGTTACAACAACCTCTGAGTCTAATCTAGCATCAGAGGTTTCATTCTAGCCTTCCTCTTTCCTGATTTATAACTTATTTCCCTGTTGTGAGAAACTCAGCTCTCATTATCAACAATATATTTACTTATGTGTTCAACCCTAGTATACAAAGTAGTGAAAGAATTCCTAAACCATAACCTTGAGAGAATCAAATTTATAAATCAGAGTGCTTTGTTTATATACAGTTCTTTTTGTCTTTAGTTTTAATAGTATACAGTCAAAATTCTATTTTTCAAGGCCAGCTCTTTTCTTCTTCATTCTCTTCAATGAGTCTGTGATTTATTTTTATTATCAGTTACATTCATTTGCCATAGGCTACAGTTTATCTCCTCTCCCCCTCAATAATGGTTGCTCAAAAAAAATTATATACAGTAAAATTCACTTCTTTTGTGGTGTTCAATTCTATAGGTTTTGACAGGATACATAAAATTGTGTCAAACACCATAGTTCTATTGCCCCCAAAATACTCCAATAGCAACTGTGATTTTAATTCTGCTTTCTCAGCACCAACCAGTAGGTGGCAGGGTTTCTCTCTGAGACAAAGCCTTCACTGTGCAACTGAGCCTGCCTGCTTGACATGCAAATAAACTTAGGAAGGCAGCTTTACATCCCTCACACCTCCTGTCTCCTTTTCTCCAAAACATGGTTAGACGGTTTCTGTGGGTAAGCTGCTTCTTCTCTGAAACAGGCAAATTTGGCTGGAAGCCTCAGAATCTTAACACTGAATAAGCAGGATGGTTCATCAGAGAACAGTCAGGAAGGCAACCCATAAACATGCTTTGATAAAACTCAATGAAGGTGTGGTTTCCCTGGTGGCTCAGATGATAAAGAATCTATCTGCCTGCAATGCAGGAGACTCAGGTTCAATCCCTAGGTCAGGAAGATCCCCTGGAGAAGGGTATGGCAACCCACTCCAGTATTCTTGCCTGGGAAATCCTACAGAGGAGCCTGGTGGGCTACAGTCCATGGGGTTGCAGAGTTGGACATGACTGAGCGACTAACAGTTCCACTCTCTCTCTCAAAGAGGGCAACAAAGGAAGATGAGAAAACTGGAGACCAAAACCAAATTAGATAAATATGAGACGGATGAATGAACAGACTTTCTCTTCAAGACATTACTTGTTTGGTATTGGGGGATTTCTACAGGAGTAAACTGACACTGGGGAAGGGAGAGGATTTTCAGGTAGAAGAAAGACCCCATGGACCAGCATTTCCTGCATTAGCCAGTGAATTCTTCTTCACCACTGAGCCAACTGGGAAGCCCGTATCTCTCACCTTTCTTTGTAATAGGCAAGTTTACAATTTTAAAAACACATATAATTTAAAAAACCAGTCTGTAGGATAACTGAGTGTATCTACAAAACCAGAAATTGAACAATTCATTAAATCTGACTAATCCCCAGCCCATACTACTACTATGAGCTCCTAATACCTTGCTGAGTATTTTATATACACTGTCATATTTAACCCTCTAGAGAGCTCTGAAAGTATTATCATATCATTATAAAGGTAAAGATATTGAGCACCAGAGACATAAAGCAAACTGTCCAAGGTCACAGACCTAGTCTGTCAGCAAACTCTGCCTCCTGAGTCTGGGCTCTTTTACTGAACTACATTGTACCACTCTCCACCCTCTGAGAGTACTCCTAGAGTTCTGACACTGGTTCTCTCTTCTGTATCCAAGTTCTCTCTCTGGGTGATTTCTACTCATTAACAAAACTTTACTACCTCTATGCCAACAGATCCACAAACTTCTACTTGTAGGCAGGGCTTGTCACCTCAGCTCCAATCCAATTTATATATCCAACTTCCTTAGTGGATGTCTATGGGTATCCTTCTCAGGTACTTCAAATTCAGCACCTATGAAGGTCAACATTTTGCCCCACTCTTTATTAATTAATTTACTATTAATTTGAATCTTCAACTTCGACTTCTAGTAAGGACCAATACTCAGTATATGTCACCAACTCCTATGAGGTGAGCTTCTCCCACATCTCCCCATCTGTGCCATTACTTTCCCCCCTTCCCTTTCTTCTGGATCCTTCTAAAAACTCTCTAGGTGGTTTTTCTGCTTCCATCAGCCCAATTCATTCTTCAAAGCTGCCCTCTGGGCTAAATCCCTTAGAATATTGGTTTATTTGTGTCATTTTAGGCTAATGGCTCTTGGAAAATTTGTCAATAAATCCCCAAATCTTCACCAACTTGGATGCAGATTTCTGGCATGTCCAACCTGAGTATGCCATGATTCTACCAAACAGAATGATAACACATTCAGGGGACCTACAGCCTTCTTGTCTTTTCATATAAAATTCCTACTTCTTTTCATTATGCCCTGAAAAAACTATTGGAGTATATTCATCCTAGTTATTAGCGTCTGATTGTTGATTGGGGTCTTGCCACATGGAGCCTGTGCATTCCTTCTCACAGGATCCTCAATGTCTCATCAGTCTTTTACCCACCTGATCTGGGAGATCCCTGTAGGCAGATTCATTTTTGGATTTTGAGTACACACACAGTACAAGGCCTGGTATATAGTGTAGGCATAGGAAATGTCTAACTCCAAGGCTTAATAGCTGACACTGGAGATAAAGTGATGGGTGAAGGGTGGGTGTAGAGCCGCAAGCACCACTCACCCTTCCGGTTCATCCCCATCTGGAGGCATTTGAGCAGGCGGCAGTACTGGCACCTGTTCCTCTGCTTCCGAGACATGACACAGTTCTTGTCACGACTGCATCGATATACCCGCTTGTTGCAAATGCTCCGCTTGAAAAACCCTTTGCAGCCCTCACAGGAGATGATTCCATAGTGTAAGCCTGTGGCACGGTCCCCACAAATGAGACAGGTTCGTTGTTCAGCGCGATCATCTGGAACAGAAACTGAACACATGAAAGTTAGAACATTGTGGAAATGATGGCTTTAAGCCTGCAGTTCTAAAAGAAGTAACCCTGGATAGATCCTGAACATAACCTTACCTGAACATAACCTTCTCTGCTAACTGGCAGAGGTGGCATCTTGCTGTAGGAACAAACTCCTTCATCTACCTATAGATTCCACAAACAAAACTTAACTAAAAACAGAACTCATGTTCTCTGAGTTTCATCATTACTTGGAGTATCCAAATCAGAAATGTGGAAGGCTTCTTCCTCTCCCTTACTTTCTTTAGCGATAGCCTACCACTTCTACCCTATAGGAAGGTGATAAGGATTATTTATCATGTATGTAAGTGTCCAGCATATGGTATACACCCAATAAATGACAGTTATAATTATTAACCAGTGGAGAAGCTTCCATGCTCAACTATACCTCAATTAAAACAAAAACAGAAAAAAAGAAACCTCCTGGAAAGATTCTGATTAGAGGCCAAGGCAGAAGATCAGAGATTTGAACCACACTCAGTAACAAGCAAGGTATAAGGACAGAGGCCTCAAAATTAAAGATCCTTAGTTGTACTCTAGTTCTAGCACTTAGCAGGTGGGTGAACTTGGGCAAATTAAGTTACCTCGCCTCTCTGAGCTGAGTTTCTCTCACCTGTAAAATAAGGATTTTACTGTCATATATATAACATAGATAAAATACTCAAGCACAGTATTTGCTATTATTTTAATTATCATTATCATCCAAACAGGTTCACACTTAAAGTGGTAGTAACATTCGAGAAAAGTATGTGAAGGCAATGTTAAAGGGCATAATGGTATATACAGAAAGGATATAGAGAAGGAAAGAGGCTGGCATTTATACAGCCTTTATTATTTGCCAAATTTGAGATATTTATGATCCCCATTTGCAGTAGGCTAGATAAAGGTCATTCAAAGGTATCAGGTCCTAATACCTGGAACCCATACATGTTATAAGAAAAAAAAAAAGAGTCTTTGCAGATATGATCACATTAAGGGCAGGTTATAAAAGTGGGCCCTACTTGCAATTACTTTTTTTGTTTTTTCCCACACAACATGGCATATGGAATCTTCATTCCCCAAACAGGGATCAAAGCTGCATCCCTTGCACTGGAAGTGCAGACAGAGTCTTAATCACTGCACCACCGGGAAGTCCCCACATGGTTTTTTAAAATTTATTTTATTGAAGTATAGTTGATCAATTTTGTGTTAATTTCTGCTGTACAGCAAAGTAATTCAGTCATACAGCTATCCATTCTTTTTCACATTCTTTTCTATTGTGATTTATCACAGGATACTGAATACAGTTCCTTGTGTTATACAGTAGGTAGGACCTTGTTTACCCATTCTATATGTAATAGTTTGCATCTGCTAATCTCAAATACCCAATCCACTCTTCCCCCACCCTCCAGCCACATGTCTGCTCTCTATGACTAATCACATATGTTTTTATAAGAGACTTGATGTAGACAGCAGAGGGCGTGCACGCACAGCACACACACACGTGTACATGGGAAGGTGAAGTGAAGACAGAGGGAAACACTGGCCACACGCCAAGGACCAACCAGCAGCCACTACAATCTCAAAGAGGCCAAGAAGAGCTTCTGGATTTTCCTTCAGAACCTCTAAACAAAGTGCGGCTCTGCCCACACCTTCATTTCAGCTGACTCCGGATTTCTGGCTTCTAGAATTGTGAAAGAATAAATTTTTGTCATTTTAAGCCACCCAGTTTCTGGTAATTTTTAGCAGCAACATAGGAAACTAATACCTTTTTTTTTCATACAAGGACACACACCTATTAAGGTTCTTGCTCAGAGTCACACAGCAAATAGCAGGTATGCAGAGAGAAGCAGACATATGAGACCACACAGCTAGGGAAATAGGGAAAGACATACAAAAAGGGCAACTGCCTAGGTGTTTTGAACAGTTCCTAGTTATAGATCTTTTTAAGTCTTTCTGAGGCCTGTATTCACTTCCTAACTTTGGTCAAACTGATAAACTGTGACAAACTGATATTCCCATGTTCCTGTAACACAATCCTTTGTTAAGCTAACTTAAATGTGTTTATGTTATCTGCAGCTAAAAGAAACTTGGCTAAGATATCCTATAAAGTGGCCCTGGTATAATAAGCATTCCTTTTCTTTTCCTTTTAAAAATGCAAAGGAAGCTCAAGGAAAACATAGAGCAAAGTTACAATAGCAAATTAAAAAACTAAACCAGGCAAGGCCAAACAGGCCAATGAATGGTGTGACAACAGCACTATGTGTGAGATGAAACCTCTTAAGAGTGCTGAGCTTGAGCTGCTGAAAAGGCTTAGAAACAGACCACAGAATACTGTCAGGAAATCATGATTGGCTACAGAGAATCTAAATTTTCTAATTTTAAAGCTGTCAATATTCTATTATATGCATACATTAAGATATATACAAGAACTCTGCAAGAGCAGACTAAAACGGTTATGACTAATCAATATCTACAAGAACTACACCTCATGGATGTGATGTCACTGAACACCTACAACTAGGCAGTGTGCTTTCTTTGTGTCACGTCACGTAATTCTCATAATCCCAAAGATGAGTACAATTGTTATCACTATTTTGTAAATGAATACATTTGGAGGTCTCAAAAAAAGTTAAGTGACTAGTCCATTTAGGAAGTGGCTGAGCTTAATCAATGGCACCCCACTCCAGTACTCTTGCCTGGAAAAATCCCACGGACAGAGGAGCCTGGTGGGCTGCAGTCCACGGGGTCGCAAAGAGTCGGACATGACTGAGCGACTTCACTTTCACTTTTCACTTTTATGCACTGGGGAAGGAAATGGCAATCCACTCCAGTGTTCTTGCCTGGAGAATCCCAGGAATGGGGTCGCACAGAGTCGGACACGACTGAAGTGACTTAGCAGCAGTAGCAGTGAGCTTAATCTGCCAGTATCAGGACTGGAGATCAACAACGTCTTCATAAAGCACTTGTAGGCATTCTATGTAGCATCTGAATGGATCCAGGAACAAAGGCCCCCCCAGAACAATCAAATACAGACCTTTTAAGAATCTGCTCAAGTCCTGTAACACGCTTGTTGTTTTCGTAAGCGTTAAAAAGGCCACACTGACATCAAAGACTAGAGGGAGATACTTTCCCACTGATGGGTGCAGAGACTAGATTCTCTCGGGGTCCTCTGACTGCTTTCTCTGGCCATAGCTATTTTTACTGCCATGTTCTGCTTGTATAAACCCTTGTCTATGCCACAGACTAGGAAACCAACTCAGACGGAAGCTTCTCTAACAAAAAAGAGAAAGGCCCTCTTCCAATCAAACTCACAGCCCTTCAAAGAAGCAACTGGCAAACTTCTCTCATAGCATGCAGGGAAGAGTGAGTGTTACTCGCTCAGTCCCGTGTGACTCTTTGCAAGCCCACAGACTATAGCTCACCAGGCCCCTCTGTCCAGGGAATTCCCCAGGCAAGAATACTGGAGTGGATAGCCATTTCCTTCTCTAGGGGATCTTCCCAACGAACCTGGGTCTCCAGCATTGCGGGCAGATTCTTTACGGTCTGAGTCACCAGGGAAGCGGGAAATAACAGAAGAAGCTATTGTTGACTGAGCACGTTGGTGTAGGCTCTCAGCTAAGCACGTAACGCATGTTGTGCTGAATCACCACCACAAACCTAAATGAGGTACCCTACTTTATAGGTGAAGAAAACTCATGAAGCTCATGAGGTGATATCACTTTTCAACAGTCACCCAGCCAGTAAGAAAGGGAGCTAGGGCTGAGACCCCCAAAGTCTATGCACCTAACTAACATACTCTGTGGCCAAAGTAAGTCAAATTTATTCTGTCTATGCAAGTAAGTCAGGCCCTTCTCCTCTTGAAAAACAAACACACAAAAGTTAAAAAGCCAATGTCTTACTTTGTAAATGAACAAACATAAGCAAAATGTCCCTAAATGGTTCTTGGCCAGATGTCAGAAAGGTTTTTGCAACTCCTGTTCTTATAAAGGACTTGAAGGGTATTTAAAGCATGTTTACATTCCTTATCTCACCTGTACCAAGACCAGGGCAAGGATTATTTTTATCTTGTAGATACAGAAAAAAAAAGAAAAAAGAAAAATTCGGTCGTGTACCATGCAATGTTCAAGAATTTACATGTACTATTTATTCATCAAAATGACTGTGAGAGGTATCATTATCCTCATATAAGAGAACCAGTAATCTTGGAGTTAGAAAGGGCCTTTCAAGTTGGCTTGAACAAGCTGACCTGAGGCATGAATTCCCTCTATGATATTCCTAAACAAGGGGTTAGTTACCCCATACTCAAGTAGAGTCACATCTCCAGTGACTCAATAAGGTACTTCATTCCATTCATTCCATTTTAGATAGTTTTAATGGTTCAAAAGTTTCACTTTACATTGAGCCAAAGTCTGTTAACCTGAAGCCTTCCTCATTGCCTTGAGTTATGTGCTTGCGGGCAAAAAATATATGCATAACCTAAGTCTAGTTCATATACCAATCATTCATTTAAAGATAAATGGAGTTCCTAACTGTGAATTCTATTTATTCTTAATCATACAGTATCAAAATTTCACATAAAACCAAGTAACCAGAACTGAATGGTTTGTTTTCTTAATTTAAGGCTCAATTAGTCTTATGTATCTGCAGCTAACAACAAACACCAGTAAACACATAGTATTTTATAATTATTGATGATATAATGCTACAAAAATGATATACATTTTATAATGGGAAAAATAAAGCTTAAACAGGTGAGTGAGTGAGTGAGTGAGTGAGTGAAAGTCATTCAGTCATGTCCGACTCTTTGTGACCCCGTGGACTATACAGTCCATGGCATTCTCCAGGCCAGAATACAGGAGTGGGTAGCCTTTTTCTTCTCCAGAGGATCTTCCCAATCCAGGGCCAAACACAGGTCTCCCTCATTGCAGGCGGATTCTTTACCAGCTGAGCCACAAGGGCAGCCCAGCTTAAAGAGGTAA